CACATCAATATTTCTCATGAACATATATGTAAAAATCCTCAAGAACATATCTGCGAATCAAATCCAACACTGTATAAAATATTACACACCATTACCAAGTGGGATTTATCCCATGTATGCAAGCCTGGCTCATCATTCAAAACTCAATTAATATGACACATCACATCAACAAACCAAAAAGAAAAAAATCATTTGATCACATCAGCATAGGCAAAAACAAAGCATTTGACAAAATCCAACATCCATTTATGGTAAAAACTCTCAGTAAACTACAAATAGAGGGAAGATTTCTCAACCTGATAAAAAGTATCTACAAAATCCTGTAGCTACCATAATACTTAATGGTAACAAACTCAAAGCTTTCCTACTAAGATCAACCAGAAGGCAAGGATATCTCTTTACCACTCCTTTTCAACACCATACTGGAAATTGTAGCTGATGCAAATGACAAGAAAAGGAAATAAAAGGCATACAGATTGGGAAGGAAGAAATAAAACTTTGTTTGCAAATGACACAATAGTCTATGTAGAAAATCTTAAAGAAAAAAACATACCTTTCTGGGGGTGCTGTGTGACTCACTTGGTTAAACATCCAACTTTGGCCCAGGTCATGACTTCATGGTTCATGACTTCAAGCCCTGCATCAGGCACTCTGCTGTCAGCACAGAGCCCACTTTGGATCCTCTGTCCCCCTCCCCAACTCATTTTCTCTCTCTCTCTCTGTCTCTCTCTCTCTCTCTCAAAAATAAATAAACATTAAAAACTTTTAAAAAACCTTCCTGAACTAATAATCAAGTACAGCAAGTAGCAAAATATAAGATTAACATAGAAAAGTCACTTTCCCATATATCAACAATTAATAAGTGGAATTTGAAATTAAAAACAGAATATCATTTACATTAGCACTCCAAACATGAAATACTTATGTACAATTCTAACAAAATATGTGAAAGATCTGTATTAGGAAACTACAAAACTCTGATGAATAAATCAAAGAACTAAATAAATAGAAATTCCATGTTCATAGGAAAGCAATATCTTCCCAACTTGTTCTATAGATTTAATTTCACCCCCATCAAAATCCCAGAAAGTTATTTTGTGGAGATCCACAAACTGATTCTCAAGTTTATATGTAAAGGCAAAAAATCCAGAATATCCAGCACAATATTGAAGAACAAAGTTGGAGGAATGACATAATGTGAATTATGTCTTACTCTAAAATTATAGTAAATAAGACAGTGGGGTATTAGTGAAAAAGTGGACGAATAAATCAGTGGCACAGAATAGAGAACCCATTAATAGACACACATAAATATAGTCAATCCATCTTCGACACAACAACAAAGGCAATACCATAAAGCAAAGACAGTCTTTTCAACAAATGGTGCTGGAACAAGTGGACATCCACGTGCAAAACAAAAACAAAAACAATGAAAAAATAGACACCTTTACAAAATTAACTCAAAATGGACAACAGAACTAAATGCAAAGCACAGAACTATAAAACATCCTAGAAGATAACATAAGAAAAAAACCTAGATGATCTTGAGTATAGTGATGACTAGTTAGCTATAACACCAAAGGCATGGTCCACAAAGTAAATAATTAATAAGCTAGACTTCATTAAAATTAAAAAAAAATTCTACACTGTGAAGGATAACATCAAGTGAGTAAAAGACAAACTATAGACTGGGAGAATATATTTGCAAAAGACACATTTAATAAAGGACTATTATTCAAAATATACAAAGAACTCCTGAAACTCAACAATAAGCAAACAACCTGATTAAATAATGGGCCAAAGACCTTAACAAACACTTCATCAAAGACATACATATGGCAAATGAGCATACAAAAAGATGTTCTACACTTCATGTCTTCAGGGAAATGTCCAGTAAAGTGAGATATCATTCCACACTTATTAGAATGGCCCACATCTGAAAACTGACAACACCAAATATTGATGAGGATGTGGATCAGTAAGAACTCTCATTCATTGGTGGTGGTAATGCAAAATAGTACAGCCACTTTTTTGGTAAGTGTTTATTTAAATTCCGGTTAGTTAACATATACTGTAATATTAGTTTCACATGTACAATATAGTGATTCAACACTTCCATACAATACCCAGTGCTCATCACAAGTGCATTCCTTAATCTCCATCACCTATTTAACCCATCCTCCCACCCCCTCCTCTCTAGTAACCACCAGTTTGTTCTTTATGGTTAAGAGTCTGTTTCTTGGTTTCTCTCTCTCTCTCTCTCTCTTCCCTCCCCCATATGAGTGAAATAATATAGTATTTGCCTTTCTCTGACTGACTTATTTCACTTAACATAATACTCTCTAGCTTCATCCATGTTGTTGCAAACGGCAAGATTTCATTCTATTTTACTGCTGAGTAATATCTTCTTTACCCATTCATCAACTGATGGACACTTGGACTGCTTCCATAATTTGGCTATTTCAGCCACTTTCAAGACAGTTTGGCAGTTTCTTACAAAAGTTAACATACTCTTATCATATAATCCAGCAATTGTGCCCCTTGGTATTTACACAAAGGAGTTGAAAACATGTCCACAGCAAAACCTGCTTATGTAGGCTTATTCATAACTGCAAAAACTTGGAAGCAACCAAAATGTCCTTCAGGAAATGAATGAATACATAAACTGTGGTTCATTCAGACAAATGAAATATTATTCAGAGATAAAAAGAAACTGTCAAGTGATGAAAAGACAAGAAGGAATCTTAAATTCATATTACTAAATGAAAGAAGCCAATTTGAAAAGCCTACATACTGTATGATTCCAACTATATGACGTTTATCATGAACTAGTGTTGAATAACTCTTACCAATTAGTAGGAAAGGAGATATAGTCAATAAAAACATGGGTCCAAGATCCAAACAAAGATCCACAAAATAGCATATCTAATGGCTAATGAGTATGTGAAAAAGTTTATCATCATCTGAGAGAAATAAGTAAAGGAAAACCAACCAAGTGCTATGCACTTACACATACAGAAGAATGGCTAAAATTGGAAAAATGGGAACCAACTAGAATTTTCATACAATACTTCTGGAATATAATTTTAGTATAAATACTTTGTAAAAGTATTGTGTCAATCATCAGTAAAAGATAAACATATGAATAACTTCAGTTAAAACAATCCTACCTCTTAGGATACCCCTGAATAATGAATGCATATGTAAATACAAATTTTAGCAGCTTATTCATAATGTCCATATATGTTAGAATAGAAACACAAATTGTATTTTGATATACTGTGGGGCCACTGAAGTGGGATTCAAGATTTGAATCATACATCAAACTCATAAGATCCAAGAAGGCTTATTTAACTCCAGTGTGAAACAGATCAGCGAGCACAGGAGTATACATACAAGCAATGCCATGCATTACTGATTCACACCCAGATTCATTTTTCAATGTCCCCAACCACTGTACACATGATATGTTTTGCTGTAAGTTTAGCCCAAAGCTGATGATATGCGTATGCATCATAGCAGCATAAAAGAGACACCACGTATATGGTGCTATAGCTTAAATACCCTGTAAGGTTAAGAGACTAGTTCCTTTTCCTTCATGTGATGTTAGTCTACATGTTGCAAGTTACATAATAAAATAAGCCTATCAGCCAAGGTCACAGCCTAAAGAACATTCTTTGAATAGTAGTCAGCACATGGCAGGCTCTGCAGAGCATGACCTATTTTTAGAGTAGATGTCGCAAGATGTTTGAATAAGAGCAAAACTTCAGGCTAGATAATGCAATATGATCAGCTGTTAACCCATTCCTTGCCAGGCCATCCTTTAGCCCCCATTCACATATACTTGTCATATAACCCCTGGGTGTGATAGAAATTATATATATGTGTGTACACAAATATATATAATTATATACATAATTGTGTGCATATATACGATTAATCATATATGATATATATAGAATTATATGTATATATATCATATATATATAATTCTATTAAAGCATTTTCCCATTATTTTGTAGATACAAGCAAGCACACAAAGACTCCAATAACTGTCATGATAAGAATAGAATAAAAATCATCTGATGATATAAGGAATATATTAAAAACACAAGACAAAACAAATAGAAGTTAATGGTAACCATAACACTACAACATAGTAACTATAGCTATGATTATGATTATGTTTATGATTATTACTGCTGCAGGGTACAAGGACTTATCTTACACTTTCTCCTTAAAGTCATTCCCCTCTATCCTACCCTTTGGGGTATTCTTCTCAAAGGACTGGTTAAGCACTTGAGGTATTTTTATTATAAGAAATCTGTCAATAAACAGAAAAGTACAATTAATATAAGAAGTTACAAGGACTCCATAATAACTCAAATCCCTTACAACCATTTTCACTAATTCAGGGATAACACATACCTTCCATCTTTTCAACTCTTTCCCCACTCTTGACTCTCCTCAAAGAATGCTTTATATACATCACCAATCATTTACAACATGCTTGCCACACTCAATATAGAATTGCCCCCCGAAATCTCATTTAACACTGTAGTCCCACCATGGACTTTTCTTCTCTACTATTTCTATTCCTGAATTAAAAGTCCCACTCTGTATTCTTCTCTTTTTCCCAAGCAGACACAAGGTTCATGAATGATCCAGACTGAAATATATTTTATTTAGTTTTTTATTCATTATAGACATGTATGGACAGAAATACTAGGCTGTGAATGAAGTAATAGAGATAATGAAGTAATAAGAAGATTTAGTTAGTGTTGGCCTTTTTTTAAAATGTTTTATTCATTTTTTGAGAGACAGAGGGAGACAGGGTGTGAGGGGGGAAGAGTGTGCTGAGCTGTCAGCACAGAGCCCAATGAGGGGCTTGAACACACAAACCAACCGTGAAATCATGACCTGAGATGAAGTCGGATGCTCAATGACTGAGCCACCCAGGCGCCCTTTGTTGGTGTTTTTTTGTGAATGAGTCTCTTCAATTACTCGACAGGGTCGCATTCTTTCAAGCAGCAAAGAGTTTCAGGTCTTGCACAGTATGACATCTTAAATTCATTTTCACCACATTGATTTTTACATTGACCATTAAGCTTTATACAGGCTTTCCATGGATCAAAAACATCATAGTGCTCTTTAATTCTAGCTGAAAGAAGGCAAAAATGGATGGAGTTAAAAATTAACGTAAGAAATGTCAACATTTAAAAGAAGATACACAAAGAAGCACTGACCACAGAGGGAAGAAAAAGGAGAGGGATTCACCTGTTTTTTCATTGAAATCTTTCTGTCCCTATATATAACAGAGAAAACCAAGGACATCAGCCAGTGTCCAATTCCTAAACTAGATGTCCCACCCCTACACATTTCAATTGATCAAGTAGTGACTCAGTAGGGGATATCTGGAGAGCCTGAAATGTATTAATACCTTCTATCTCTCTTGCTTATCCTCACTGAATATGAGTGGGCCAATCTCCATCTTCTGTCTCATTAATTATTCATGTTTAATTCTGTTCTGTGAATTTTCCTCCTCAAGACTTCATTGTTCATTGAAACTTGACTTCAATGGTTCTAAAGTACTAAAATATACTGTTTTTTTTTTTTAATTTTATTAAATATCCCAACTATTCTTTGATCTACACCCCACCTTCACTCCCAGGAGATGTTCACCTAAAAACAGACAATTTGGAAGATTAACATAATGAACAGAAAATAAATAAACAAAAGAGATGAACATAGTTAAGATTTCAGCAAGTCTCTTAACTTTTCAGTACTACTTTTCATTTTCTCCCCTACTATAGTTTCTCAAGCTATAGAAAGTTTAAAATTTTTCACTCTTTCACTTTGCACTGTATTTGCTTTGATTTTGTAACTTCAAAAATCATGAGGAATGAGATAAGGATCCAATGTCTCTGTTACTTATAGAAGTTCTGGAATGCAGGTGAAGGTTTACATTTATTCCCTGTATCTCCCAAAACAAAACTATAAGTAAATGGTGTAGATTAACAAGGAATCAGGTTTTAGCTCATTATAATAAATTCCTTCTTAACATTTAAAGCTTTCATAGTGATCATGAAATACCTTACCAAAGAAATACATATCTATCATCCTGGATAAATATAATTAGGCCCTACTGGACATATTTTAGAAGATCAGCCAGAATCGGTGAGTCATTGTCACTGATGTTTATAGACATGCTTTCATCCCAGAGACCTTTTAATTATAAAATTAAGCAAACCCTCATCCATTTTTTTCCAGTAAAATATTTTATAGGGGTTTTATATATTATGTATATTTTAAATAAAGTAGAAATACTACCCATATGGTATTCTCTTTATTCATCTATTATAATTTTGATGACCATATAGGTTATTTGCCATTAATTATCAATTATTTGCTATTAATATTCCTGTATTCTTTCTTGGAGCACACGCAGCAGTCTTCTGTTGGGTAGATATATTCACAATGGAAATCCTAGATCATAGAATACACATGTCTTCATCTATAATAGCTTATTAAAAATCATTTTCCAAAAGGGTCCTATCAGTTTCACTCTGCTCAGTAGTGTATGAAAATTCTTGCTGTTCCATTTGCATTACCATACTTTGCATTATCTAACTATAAAAATTTTAAACATTATTTGAATGTGTGGTGGTGTAATATCATGGTTTAAATTTGCATTTTCCTGATTGCTAATGAGGATAATAAGCACTTTAATAGGTTTGTATATCCACTTTTACAAATTACCTAAGTCTTTTTTTCCCATATTTCTACTGGATTTTCTTTTTCTTTTGATTTATCAGAATTCTTTATAAATTTCAGATACAAGCACTTTGCCAGTTTTAAATGTTGTAATTTTAATAATCCATTCTATGGCTTGGCCCAGCTGATATATATAAGAACTGAGGGAACTTTTTACATGAGGTGTTAATCAAGTGGTGCTATAGCTAAGAGAGAAGAACCTTAGAAGGTTGTGAGTCTTAAAGTCTAAGTTTGAGATGAAGATGATCAGAGATAATGTACATTATCTCTGTATATTAGTGTAACTCTGTAATGAATCTAAATTAAATTATTTTCATGTTAAAAAATAATGTAATTGTCTAAGTTCATATAAATGCAGGTATAGGTAGAGAAATATTGATAGATATATAGAGAAGTAAAAATAGACACTTAGAGATAGAGATGTGTAGGTAAATCAATTTATATGACAACCAAGGTAATTTTGACTTTGAGGAGTAAGCACTCCAGAACTGCAGATTATAAACCAAGGGAAAATTTAAATCTATGCATGTCCAGTCATAGTGAATAAGTGTGATTTTTTTTATTGTTTTACATTTAAATAAATGTAGACTTTTCCCCTTATACACATTGTTAACAATATCTGATAGCCAAAGGCGTGCCATTTATTTATTTTTTTAGTGTCTCAAAACAGCAGCTGTTACTGAATACACATAACTGCAATGAAGGATACATCTACTTTCTTTATACGATAATCGAAGTGAAGTGGGATACAACCAAATGTAACAACAAATAGAATAACAAAAGAACAAGTTATTTTTCTATACAGTTTAAATATTATATCACAAATCTGAGTACAGTCTGACTTAGCTAATGTCACCTCATCTTCAGAGAATAATCCTCAAATTTGGTTAGGCAAATCAGCAATTTCTTACATACTTCTGTCCTTTTTGCTTGTTTTCCAAATATCCTTGTCTTCCTTTTTTTCTCTTTCTGCTCTCTAAATATTTCTTGATTTTCTTCTCTCCCTCTATCCATTTATTAATTAAATAAATGTTAACTGAGCACCTACTGCAAATATATATGTATACATGTATGTGGTATAGGCCTACCGTGACAGGCTTCAGCAATGACATAGTGTCCAAAAACAAAATGAAACATAACAAGAAGACAAAACACGTGGCCCATGTATAAAATAATTTGACCAATGACTTCATCACTAGGTCTTTGTCTGAACACCATTACAAAGATAACTCTCTTTCTTTGCCTTCCCATAGAAATTTATTTGTATCACTCTCATGGTGTGATAACACTCTACAACATTCTACAATGTTTATAACATTCTAACTTGAGAAGACACTTTGCCAAGTGATATTCTAAATCATAATTGAGATAAAGACTAAAATAGAGAAGAATTCCTTTTTTTAAATAAATCCCTAACACTTAGTCTGGACTTTTCATGTTCAATTGCCTTTTCAAGTTATCTTAATTACACCATCCTTGAAATTAATAAGAATATCTTAATTACTCTTTCTATCTATTTTGTGTATCCAAAGATTCCAGGCTTATGGGCAATGAACAGTGGTGACTGATAAAAAGAAATTTTGCCAGCTGTCACATAGAGGGAAATTAAGACAACAATCTGACTCAAGCATAGTGGCATCGACAACATGTTTTAAAATATTTCGGATGCTGGAAGCAATGATTGGAGAATGTTTCCTCTTGGAAATATAAGAACATCTGTCTAGATAGAGTTTCATAAAAAATAAGACCCTGTGACTTTAAAATGAGACTTCTTTCACATTCTGACCATAAAATTCAACTTTCATAAAACTAGAAGTTTAAAGACAAGAAGAGCTAGGAAAATGGGGAGTAGGACAGAGAACATACTTAGGATATTTCCTCCATTTCTTTGGATAGATAGTGATTAAATTGTGCAAGTTATACCTCTACTCGTTTTATTTTACCTGCTTTGTTTTCCTTTGTACTGTATTCTGCCTTTTCAGATATTGTGGAAGAATTATGTATCTCTGAGTATAGTTTTTCAAACCTTTTAGTACATATGATCATCGATAATGGCATAGAAGGGGTAACAGGTTGGTCACAGCCCACTGCAAAAGAAAAAAAAAATACTTTAAAAGCATACAAAAAGAGTATTCTCCAAAATAAGAACAATAATGTATTTCTCTTTATTTCATGGTTCTGCATACTATAAGAGGTTTTTAAAGATGATAAGCTTGTAGAATATACTTCTTTAAAATTTGATTGAATAAGTCAATGAATGACTTAATCATTATCTCACATGATTATTGCAAGGAGCAATAAATTAATAAGGGCAAAAGGCAGAACAGATGCTAGCTATTAAAATCATTACTATTAAGAAAAAAGCATCAGTGCAAATTTAAATTGATGTAATTCTAAAGAATATCTCAGAAAATTTCTAGGAATAGAGAGAATTTTAATGACCACGTTCTAATAAATTTTTACAAAGATGATGAAGGAAAAAATTATTCTTATTTAAATTAACTCCAATTCCTTGAGTTACGCTATCAATTGAAGTTTAGCTCTCTTTTGGTGAGAAATTGTCAGTTAAAAAATTATTTCTGTTTGAGTGTCAGAGTAGAGTAGCAGTAAGAGAAGGAAATACTATAGGTTTACTTTATGGTGATTTCCACTTATCTCAATAATGACAGATATCTTGGTGACCCAGGAAATTAGCAAAAATAAAGAAGAATTTAAATGGAAGAGGGCAGATGCACAGCTAGTCTTTGGACTTTCAGCAAGCGATGTAACCTCACTTACCTTCTGCTATCAATACTATCAATGTGAAATGAATAATTTCCAACCATACATTCATTCTATTCTCAAATTTTTTCAAATCTATTCGTATATTAAATTTAGTAGAATTTGAATATTAAAAA